CTGCTTTGTTGAGTCTTACGACTATTAAAAGTTATAAAATAGTCACTCGACTATAAGGAGTTGATTTGTTGAGTCCCTCAAATATTAAAAGTTACAAAAAGATCACCCGGTTATTCATTATGTTCTAAACTCATCATTTTTTGTTGAAACATTAACGATGTCTGAGTTGGAAATTAACATGCTGACTAAGATACGATGGTCGTTTGAGATTTTGAGATCAAGTTTTATCATATCTCAGTCAACAGTTTAACATCCAACTCAGATTGTTGTTAATTTTTTAACAGAAAAGTACAAGTTTGGAACATAATGAATAGTTGGGTGACTATTTTGTAAATTTTAATTGTCGAATGACTCAACAAAGCAACTTCCTATAGTCGAAGGATCATTTTATAACTTTTAATAGTCATGAGACTCATAAAAATAGTCTCCTATAGTTAGGGTACCATTTGCATACTTTACCCTAAAATAAATTTATATCAATGTATACAACACTTTACATCGGTGTAAGTACGTATTCGTTTTTTTTAAAAATAAATTTTGTTTATTGTCGGTGTCTCGGTGCATCACTTAATACATACATATTCTTTGTTGATTTTTTTACTATGATTATACCCCTTACAAAGCTCCTTCACTCTGCACGTTAACACATCTGGATTGTGTTTTCAGAAGAAAGTCTCCACGGAAGAACATCTCAACATAAGATGTAATGGACCTGGCGTATTGTATTCCTAAAAAAATCGTAATCTTTTGACATAATTTCTAGCATACCCTACTTGATTTGATAGAATTAAAGTTGATTAACAACCGACCAAAACAACAAGATTTGTATATCATGTCAACTTAAGAGTAATTAGGGACGAACACAAGATTTTATGTTAGGGAACGAAAATAAATTATCAATAGAAAATATTTAAAATATATGAACATTTGAAATTTGCAGGGGACTGACCCTGGCAACAGACCCTCTAGTTCATCCCTATGAGTAGTCATCATAATTTGGTTCACAAAATATAAGATTACTATTAGAAATAAGATTATTGGAATGTTACATTACTTAACATATGAATGAGAATGTTATATTACTTTGTTTGATTTGTTTGGCAACAATGTAAGATTATAATGTTTGTTTGAAGGAATATAAGATAATAAAAATGTATGTTTTACCAAGGTGTACTTGAGATATATTTTCTTTTTTAAGTTTTTTAATATTAAATTCAAAATATTTACACAGAATTTCATAGAAAATATAATTTTATATTCTCTAATATATATATATATATATATTCAATAAAATTTATACACAAATAACTTAATATATATTTTTATTTTTTTTAAAAATATAGAAACATACTTACACCAATAAAATTATGTGTTTATTTCTAGGTACTAAGATATTGAGAGATGTACATACTTACACCAGTATAAATATGTGTTAATTGCTACGATATTGAGAGATGTACATACTTACACCAGTGTAAGTATGTGTTAATTGCTAAGGTATTGTGAAATGTACATACTTACACCGGTGCAAGTATATGTTAATTGCTAAGATATTGAGAGATGTACATACACCAGTGTAAGTATGTGATAATTGCTAAGATATGATAGTTGTTTGAGATTTTGAGATGAAGTTTTATCATATCTCGGTCAGCAGGTTAACATACAGCTTAGACTGTTGTTAATTTTTAACAGAAAATGACGAGTTTAGACATAATGAATAGTCGGGTGACCATTTTGCAACTTTTAATAGCCGAATGACTCAACAAAGCAATTTCCTATAGTCGATGGACCATTTTATGACTTTTAATAGTCAAGGACTCATCAAAGTAGTATCTATAATTAGGGGACCATTTGTGTACTTTACCATAAAATAAATTTAAATCAATGTCTGTAACACTTTACACCGGTGTAAGTATGTGTTAATTGTAACCCTTTACACCAGTGTAAGTATGTGACCTTAACATGTTGTTGCTCTACCATGAAAAGCCGTCTGATTATAGATAAATTATCGCCTACGACTTTCCACAAAAATTAAAAGAGATTGTATTGTCATCAACTGACACAATCACCTATGTTCTATATGGAGTTTCTTTGTTGAGTCCATCGACTATTAAAAGTTATAAAATGGTAGCCCAACTATAGGGAGTTGCTTTATTGAGTCCCTCAAATATTAAAAGTACAAAATGATCACCATTAACTTTATAAACTATTCAATTATTTCATGTTTGAGTCTTTATAAGGTCATTTATTACCATTCACTTTATTATAAATTTATGTTTTGTATACTAGACAAATTTAGTGGTCTAGCTTAGTGGTTAAGACACTTAGTTTTTCAACTTGTGTCTCAAGTTCAAATCCCACCAATAATGGTTACTGATTTAATTTATTTTCCATTCATTCAATTGGTCAACACATGGAACTACTTGATTGAATGGAAAATTTATTAAATAAAAAAATATTAAAAAATCCAATTACACAATGACACATGTCACCATCGAATTGAAGATTAAATTTATTTAATCAAATAAAAGTTAGGACCAAATTAATAGAAAGTGTAAGTAATGAAGACTAAATGTATAATTATACAAATTTTATTAACTGCCACATGTACACATCATCTCCTCCGTTAATATTTAACGGCAAGTGACTTGATTGACAAGATTTAAATAGTTAGGTCACCCGATTGATAAAATTGAAAAATCAATGGTTAAAGTAAAAAGGATAGATAGTTTGATGGTCAATGGAATAATTTACCCTAAAAATAATGTTTTATAAATATTATATTTTAAGTAAATTACATTTAGATTTTAACTAATTTATAATTATACGTTTAGTACTTTACGATTTAAAGCTTTTATAATTTAATTTAATGGTGCTCATCGTTTACCGTACTCATGAACGCTCGTCGAGCGTGCCAGCATCATCCTATCGATAAATTATCAACTACGACTTTCCACCAAAATTAAAAGAGATGTATTGTCATCAACTGACACAATCACCTATGTTCTATAGGGAGTTTCTTTGTTGAGTCCCTCGACTATTAAAAGTTATAAAATGGTAGTCCGATTATAGGGAGTTGCTTTGTTGAGTCCCTCAAATATTAAAAGTACAAAATGATCACCTGACTATTCATTATGTTCTAAACTCATCCTTTTTTGTTGAAACATTAACGGTCATCTCCGTTGGAAATTAACTTGCCGACTGAGATATGATAGTCGTTTGAGATTTTGAGATAAAGTTTTATCATATCTCAGTCAGCAGTTTAACATCCAACTCAGATTATCGTTAATTTTTTAATAGAAAATGACGAGTTTGGAACATAATGAATAGTTGGATGACCATTTTGTTACTTTTAATAGTCGAATGACTCAACAAAACAACGTCTTATAGTCGAGGGACCATTTTATAACTTTTAATAGCCAATGACTCACCAAAGTAGTATCCTATAGTTAGGGGACCATTTGTTTATTTAAGGTGTGAGTATGTGTTAATTGTAACACTTTACACCGGTGTAAATATGTGACCTTATCTTGTTGCTCTATCGTAAAAAGCTGATTGATTATCGATAGGGATGGCAACGGGCCGGGTTCGGGCCGGGTATTGGTCCCCCCGTCCCCGTCCCCGTTTAAAAAACCGGTACCCGTCCCCGTTTAAAAAACCGCGGGGATTTAAACGGAGATCCCCGTCGGGTAATCGGGGAAAACCGCGGGGAAACGGGTATCCCCGTTTAGCATAAACGGTTATTTAAACGGGTATTGGGCCGGGTATTGGGTTGGGTATTGGGCCGGGAATCGGGCCGGGTATATATATATATTTAAATTAAATATATAAATATATATTTTTTATTTAAATTAAATTTATTAATATTATATATATATATATATATATATATATATATATATTATTTTTAATATTTATCGGGTCGGGTATCGGGGCGGGTAATCGGGGCGGGGATTACCAAACCCGTCCCAGTCCCCGTCCCCGTTTAAAATAAATGGGTTTTCCCCGTCCCCATCCCCGTTTATCATCCCCGAACCCGACCCGTTTAATTCGGTTTTCGGTTTTCCCCGTCGGGTTCGGGTTTTTTTGCCATCCCTAATTATCGATAAATTATTGTTTACGACTTTCCACCAAAATTAAAAGAGATGTATTGTCATTAACTGACATAATCACCTATGTTATATCAACAATTTCAAACATTACTTAATTTGTTGGGTTTTTTTTTTCATTTTATTTTTAGAGATCATATTTTAGTGTATTGTTGATAGTAAGTCTTATATATTTCGGAAAATCATAAAATGTCACTTTATCAATCAATAAATAAAAAGTTTCATGGAAGATTTATAAATAAATATTGATAAATATATTTAGGGAAATTTTATACACAGTCTATTAGTTAAGACTTAGAGTTTAAGATTAAAGATTTATATTTCAAATAATTATGATTATATAAATTTTAATTTATATATTTTACATAAAAATTACTCGTATATTTAAAATTAATTATGACTATTGTCCCAATCTCCTTTATCCTCTTATCTGATATCATAATAGAAAGCTCCTTGAATTAAAGTTGTCTAAAATCATGGAAATAAACATTATACCAAACATAGCAGCACAAGAGGTGATATTCGTTCCTTCATTGGTTATATTTTTCATTTGGATTTTTCTATATATCCCGTTTGTTGTTAGTTTTGATTATTACAAAACATAAACTACATGGATGTAAAAGAAAAAGGAACAAGTTAAAAAACAGAAAGAAAAGGTATTTGCAGCATTAATTAGCGAAGGAGTTGACTCATCAAAAAAACAACTTTGTACCTGTTCAGATTATGGAAAAAGAGATAATATTCGCAAACAAGCAACTTTGTAGATTATAGCAGGGAGTCAGGGACTACTATTATCAAATGTACCTGTTCAGTTCATTCAGTGTTCAACACTCAAACAAGCAATATTCACAAGCAACTACATTTACAAAACCAGAATGCAGAGAACTTCAATCAGAACCGATATTCTTCGTCTGTCGAGTCCAAGAAAAAACGAATCTGGCATTCTGTTGAGGCCCTAGGGCAGTTCAACATGTTTCTAATATGCCTGCGTCGTTTCTTCAACATCGAGGAAGTCCTGATCTTCACTTCCTCCAAGAATTTGGCGTTCTTCAGCATATATTGAATGAATGTCCAGTAACAGTTTTGATTGATGAATCCCGTCAGTTTAAGGGCCTTCAAACTCGCAGACACACACACCGGAACAGTCTTCGAAAATGACTTATCACAGTTGTGACCCCTGTGGAGTATTGGTACTTCAATGTGATATACCAAAGTCTTGAGATTGTTTGAGCCGTGAAGCAACTCTTCCAGATCATCCCAATTTGCACAGCTTGTTGTAGTTTCCAGGCATACCAGATTATGGAACTCATGAAACGCCATACTAAATAAGGCATATTCTGATAAAGAAAGAAATTCAAGATTAGCGAACGCTTCAATGGGCTCACATGTTACATGGATATCTATGATTGCTTCCACCAAGCTGGAAGAATCTATCTGAAAATTCAAAACATTAAAATTCTTCTGCGACAGCTCTATCCTTTCCAAGAGCGGAGCGCTGATCAGTAAACCGTGATCATTAGCTTCATAATTCTTCAGATTCAGTCTCTTCAATGAAGCAACATTGATGACCATATCAAGAATCCCATCATCCAAAATCCTCTCAACAACCAAGTCCTCAAGAACTGGACAACCAGAAAGTAGGATGTTGAAAGACCCTTCATTTGCGTAGTGTAATCGCTCCAGTTGCAGAGTCCTTAGATTTTGTAAACAAACATTTTCAGGGAGATCGATGAAAATATTATCAATCAGCTTGAGAGATACGAGTGTTCTGCAAGCAAATAAACGACCAGGCAGTCTAACCGTTGGTACATGTGAAAAATTGAGGCTGAGTTTCAGCTCTTGAACATTCCTTTCTACTGCAGCAGCAACCCATGTACCCAGATGCTCTTCATCCACTTCCAAGAAAGGTTTAAAGTCTATGGTAAACTGGTACACATTTTGAGCTTGACAGTTGGTTAAAAACTTACCTATAGAATCCACAAAGCTGCCCAATGTACCAATGAATTCAGCTGAACTGAAGGAGAGGACGGGAACAGCAGTCCATAAATGCTTCCATCGCTTTGACAAGGTACTGGTGGCAACTGACAATTTGGTGGGGAGAAAGGAAAGGATGTGGCAAATAATGGAGTCTGGTAGGTTGCTAAGTTGATCAATGTGTTTTTGACCCTTTTCCATATCTTTTTCCTTTTCCTTTTCCACGCTCCTTTTCTTGGATAGTCTTTGAACCAAATCAGCCATATGTGAGTGAAGACTCTGCTTAACCTATGAACAAAAATTTAAAGACTCTGGTTAACCTATGAACAACAATTTAAAGAGACCATTTCAGAGATTCTTGGAATATTATCTTGCTCACCCGTTTACTAAGATCAATGGCAAAAACTCTGTATTCTTGGAATATTATCTTGCCAGCGTTTTTGCATGAAAGAAGCCTTGTGACCGGCGTTGGCAGTTCCGGGGGCGGTGTTCCACCGGTCCTTGAACGGAGATTCAACGGCTGCCCGAGAAAGAAACGAGAATGGTAATGGGGATCAGATATTCAGATGGGAGAGCGGGAACAGTTATGGGAGATTGGAGAAGAAGCAGTTTGATTCTTGATTCCATATTATCCTGGGCCTACCTTATACCATGGCCCACCCCATATATTTTTTTTGTGTGTTTATATATCGTATGGACTAAATTAAAAGGCTTGATAAAGTAAAAGGGTCAAATCTCTCAATCATCCCATTAAAAAACATGTGAGGGAGGTACTACATTGATGGACTAAATGAAACTTTAGGTGATATTTTTACAAGGAATTGGAAGCGGAGGAATTATATTAAAAAACTTGACAAATCATAGGTACCAAATCTGTTATTATCTCACTGGAAACAACAAATGGAATGTGGGAAATGACGTTAGAGGGAAATTCTAATATTTGATAAAGTACAGGGTTCGGTTCTGTAATATTTAAAAACTCAATTGCCGAAGAAATGATATTTGGACCAAAACAACTAGTTGGTAGTCGAATCGAGATGTAGATAATTTATTTCTTAAAAATGAATGAATAAGAGAATTATACAAATACACATTAATAATTAAACTAATAATTAAAATGTATCTGAACACACTCACATATAATAAATTTAAAATTAAGATAAAATCTTCAATGAAAATTCACACATGATATATATTTATATATACATATTAAAATTTAAATAAGTGTTAACCTCCCATAAGCCAATGCCTTATTCTCATTATGTTTATAAATAAATTCAACTATTTAAAATTTGTTTGTTGAAAAAGTTTCTTTTTGATTAAATATATACTTAACTTTATTATTTATACATATCTAATTTTTTTGGTACGTACAGTTAGGTATTGATGTGTGTACCGACAAGTGTAAGCTTCCATTATCGCTTCAAGTAATAAAGTGGATACACTCTCGTGTGTGAGGTATCGATCTCACATAAAATAGTGTGGTTAACAAATCCATCAAGATAAATTAATTGAATGGATAAACACTCTAAGTAGATAAGAAATGTGATAGAAGGCTTGTTGAGTTAATCGATCTCTGAATTCAAGTAAGCATCTCGTTAATGGTGTTATAAATGTCAATAAGTGATTATCTCATCGGTTTTGATATAAATTTAGTTGACGATTGTATATACTATAAGATCAATAAGAGTAAACCAACTTATACTTTGTTGTCAAAAGAGTTTCAATGAGGAGTTTAATAAATGCTTACGTATTATACAAATAGTTCCCTTTATTTTCTGTCTGACTGATTTTGGTCATTGATTTAAAACTTAAGTGCGTTTGATCTCTCACATTATTGATCCGTTTGATTTTAGTCTCTTAATCATTAACTCCCGTTAACTCGTTAACGGAAACCTGAGTTGACAACTAAAAAGTAAAAGATAATTCATGTGTCTTCTTCTTTTTCCTCCCACCAACGAATCGATCACTGAAAAAGCATGCAAACACGAATTCCCACCATGGGAAAGCATGGTGCTGAATATTATGCATTATCCATTGGGAAAGCACATTGTTGAATATTATGAATTATTCATAGTGTTGGATATTATGATTATCCATGTAAATACGAATTCCCAACATGGGAAAGCATGCAGCCACTTGCTAGGTATTTTTTCAAGCATTTGCATGCCTAAGCAATTAACACTTATCTAAATTCCTAAGCCTAAAGAACAACTGCTTCGCAGCTGTTGAGACAACTTTTCATGTGTCATGATCGAGTATTACTAACCCACAAAATTAAACATCATTATTTGTCATCTCATACATTTCTTTGGTTGTTCTATCTCTTGTCATTGTAGTTTGTTTTTTGTTTACTATAAACCTAAAGGTTCCAGATACTTAGAATGTTCTGACAGCTCTAAACGATAATTTTCCCCCTCACATGCACTTACAATACAATAGGGAATGTAGTTTAGATGATAGTAATTAGTAATTACCCCACATCTCCATTTAGTTGTAGTTTCCTACTTGAAAAGAATGATGAACTTGAGCTTAAAATTAGTCATAAAACGAACAAAATGGTTCATAAGTTTGAGCTTGCCTCAATATCTGTAAACAACATCTCCACGTTTACTAAGCTCTTTTCAGTTTCGTTCTAGAATTCACTTAAGAATGTGTCTGCTGTATCTTAAAGCTTCATCAAGAGAATCAGGCTCCCACTCGATAACCATCTTTGTACAACTTTGTCCATGTCTTCATCACATATGAGTCATTAACTGCAACATCACATATTCCTCTACCTTTTCAATAAAACCTAGAACATGCTTTAAGTTGCATGGAATTGAGAAAACAAGGAAAATAATGGGAGTTTAGAACCCGCTTGCAAAATTTTTTATAATATATAATTCTATACGTGATTTACCTGCATCCGGAAGATGAAGCACCGAGAACTCCAACGAGAATGACTTGTTTACCGGCAGTAAGGGAGTATAGGGACACGTTTTCAAGAAGAAGAAGAAGCGTGTATTTTTTTTAATTTTTAAATTATCACATAACACTTTCGTTAAAGGGTTAACGTTTGAAAGATTAAAATCGAACGGACTGATAACATAAGGGACTAAAATCACTCTTTTTTTAAACCAATGAACCAAAATTATTCTTTTTTAACTGATAACCAAAATCAATTAGACCAAAAACATAAGAGACCATGTATATATTTTACTCATTAAAAAAAGAATAAGAGAAGGTGTGGTGAATCAAAAACCAGAGGCTCTCGCATGCAAAACAAGCACTCTATATACTATATCAACTACGCACCCATGATATCTTTTAGGGAAAACTACTTGAATGTCTACCTAAATGTAAGGTTAGTGTTGATGTGACCATCATTTTCAAAATTTTATCAACATGACCATTTAACTCTTTAATTGGTTTCAAATAAGTCATACCATATGAGCTACAAACCCATGATATCTTTTAGGGTAAACTACTTGGATGCCCACCTAACTATGAGGTTAATGTCGATATGGCCACCATTTTCAAAATTTTATCAATATGACCACTTAACTGTTTGTCGCGACCGTCTTTCGGGTTAGGTTATACCTAACAAAAACAAAGGAAAAATATTAATTTGTTAAAATAATAATAGTAATATATATATTAAGGTACTATATAATATATATGTATGTTATACTATAAATATACAATGTAAATATATAATAGGATATACGAATACACAAACTCGGACAAAAAAAATATGTCTACAGCTGCCCCTCTTTGCCTATAGCATGTAACGGGAATAGGGCAAAGAGTAAAAGACACACTTTTCGTCCAATATAAAGGTATCACCGAATTTAACATAATCTATTATGGGAGTCGATTCCTCTATTAGGTTCAACTAATCATATCGAGTTTGGATCCAATATGCATCATCTAGTTTAACTTCTGATAGGACTCGGATTGATGGAATCTCTACCTTAATAGGCAGTATTGCTTCCATCCCATATGCTAATGAGAACGGGGTTGCCCCAGTCGAAGTTCGTACCTAGGTTCGGTAAGCAAAAATAGCAAAAGGTAATTTCTCGTGTCAATCCTTGTATATCTTAGTTGTTTTCTCCACTATTTTCTTGATGTTTTTGTTTGCTGCTTCTACCACTCCATTCATCTTTGGTCTATAAACAGTAGAATTATGATGTTTTATGTTAAATTGTTCACACGCAGCGTCCATCATCTTATTGTTCAGGTTCGTGGTATTATCGGTAATGATTCTTTCAGGTAAACCATACCGACATATGATCTCTTTCTTCGGGAATTTACAAACAATGGATGAGTAACACTGGCATATGATGTAGCCTCTACCCATTTCGTGAAATAGTCAATTGCCACAATAATGAAATGATGGCCATTTAAAGTCTTCAAATGAAATTTCCTGATAACATCCATACCCCACATAGAGAATGACCATGGTGCGGTCATCACATGAAGAGGTTGAGGTGGAACATTGATTTTATCCCTATAAATTTGACTTTTGGACATCTTCTAGCATAATTGATGCAGTCTCTTTCCAATGTGGACCATAAATATTTGCATCTCATAATTTGCCTTGACATCATATGTCCATTCACATGCATTCCGAAAACTCTATTATGTACCTCTTCTAATATCATTTTTGCCACTTTTGCATCTACACATATCAACAAGATATGATCATGGCTTTTCTTGTACAAAACTTCTCAATCAAGAACATATTCAACCACCATCCTTCTAATAGTTATTTTGTCGGTTTCGGTGGCTTCTTCTGGATAACTTCAGTTTTTGATGTATTACAGAATGTCATGATACCAGGGCTTAATGTCTTTTACTTCCTCAGTTTGGTAACAATGAGTCGGGTACTCATACGACTTCATGTCAATTGCCATAATATCAGACTCATCGCTAACCTTAAATGTGACTACCAAGGTAGCTAAAGCATAGGCCATTTGGTTTTCTTCTCTTGGTACGTAATGAAAAGAGAATTCGTCAAATTCTTCGAGTATATCTAATATTAGCTTTCCACCAGCTTTACATCCTTCGTTTCTCATTCTCTACAGAGCTGATAGATCACTAAATTTGAATCTCTATATACTCGTAAGGTCTTTATATTTTGTCCAATAGCAGCTCGATTCCCCAAAACACAAGCCTCATACTCTGTCATGTTGTTAGTGCAATCAAAATTTAGTCTGCTAGTGAATGGGTAATGATTTCCTTCAGGGGAGATTACTATTGCCCCAATGCCATGTCATATGCATTTATGCACCATCAAAATGCATTTTCCAAGAATAACATGTGGAAGTACTTGCTTCTTCTAAGGATATGGCCATCAAGTCTTCGTCTGGGATGTCAAAGTCCAAAGGCTCATAATTTTCAACAGTTCTGCTTGCCAAGAAATCCTATATGGTACTTCCCTTTATAGATTTTTGGCTTACGTACTCGATGTTAAATTCAGATAACAACATCTTCCATTGAGCTAACCTTCCAGAGAGAGCAGGTACACCCATCAATACTTTAGTGAGTCTAACTTGGAAATCAGCCAAGTGGTGTGGTACAACATGTATTGTCTAAGTCTATGTGTAGCCCAGACTAAAGCACATCAAACCCTTTCGATAGGAGGATATTTGACCTCGCAATCAGTGAACTTTCTACTTAGGTAATAAATGACCCTTTCTTTTCTCCCAGATTCATCATGCTGACCCATAACACACCCCATTGAATTCTCAAATATGGATAAATACAAGAAAAAAGGTTTGCCCTAGATGTGAGACATTAAGATAGGGGTGCGAGATAAGTATTCTTTTATCTTCTCAAATGCAGTCTGGCAATCCTCATCCCATGTTCCAAACTTTTCTTTCGAAGAATACGAAAAATTAGGTCGCACTTGTCGGTCAATTGAGATATATAATGCGCTATGTTATTTAACCTGCCCAAAAAACCTTGAACCTCTTTCTGTGTTTGTGAAGGAGGTAAATTTTGGATGGCTTTGACTTTATCTGGATCGACTTCGATACATATCCTGCTAACAACGAAGCCTAATAGCTTTCCGGATGTTACCCTGAAGGTACATTTGTTGGGGTTTAGTTTCAACTGGAACTTTCTTAATATTTGAAGGAGTTTTCTCAGATTCTCGACATGTTCATCTTTGGTTTGTGCTTTGAAAATTATGTCATCGGCATAAACCTTGATTTCTTTATGCATCATGTCATGAAACAAGGTCACCGTGGCTCTTTGATATGTTGCCCTGACATTCTTTAATCCGAAGGGCATTACCTTGTAATATAAAGTTCCCCATATTGAGATAAATGTGGTCTTTTCCATGTCCTCAGGATGCATCTTAATCTGGTTATATCCTGAGAATCCGTCCATGAATGAGAAGAAAGTGTTCCCGGCAGTATTATCCACCAAAGAGTCTATGTACGGCAGAGGAAAGTTATCTTTGGGACTCACCTTGTTAAGATCTCGGTAATCGACACACATGCGTACTTTACCGTATTTCTTTGGAATCAACATTATATTAGCCACCCATTTCGGATACTTGGCCACTTGGAGGAAGCCGACATCGAATTGTTTCTTGACCTCTTCCTTGATCTTAAGGAGCATTTCAGGTCTCATTCTCATTAGCTTTTGTTACACCGATTTGCATTATGGTTTGATGGGCAGTTTGTGGACTACCATATCCATATCCAGTCCCGGCATGTCTTGATACGACCATGCAAACACATATTTGTATTCTTGAAGTAAGAATATTAAGTTTTATCTTGCTTCAGTTGAGAGATATGTGCCAATTTTGATTTCCTTTCTTTCCTCTTCCGTACCTAGATTCAGGACTTCAATTTTCTCTTCATGCGGCAATATTTGCTTGTCTTCTCTTTCTACCATCCTTAACAATTCAGAAGAAAAACTGCACTCGTCTTCATTGTCACATTCATCAACTTCCCCGAGACAATCAAACTATTCAAAATCCACTTCCAAGTCAGTATCATCAGTACCTCTATTATCATTATCTTGGGACCTGAAGGAGAAATGAAACATTTATATGTGAGAGGAAAATATCCAACATGGAATGGTCGAAACTTAAATTCCAAAGAGGATAAAACTAAAGAAAATTGAATTCAAAAGAAATGTACTAAATGAAAAAAATTAAGTTCAAAAGAAATAAGGAAAATATTTGTCGTGAAAGAAACTGCAACTTTTATTGAATTTAAAAAAAAATTATTCACCCTTACAAAAGATCACCTATTACCCGGGTGTAAGTGAATAGGGATAGTTTGAGTATTACTCTGAAAGAAATTTGAAAACCACAGGTAATTCTTTACTCATCCAGTTGCTAACCACCGATCCAGGTGGTAAAGGGCAGATTCCTGACTTATTCGTATTTTCGGCATTCTCTGTGGTTATAGCGTTAATACTCCAATCTTTCAAAGAAACCTCCAAATATAGTGAAGTCGACCCAAACTCATAACCATCAGATTTAAAGGTTTCTTAAAGAAGTGGAAAAACCATGGGTTCTCATTGAAAATCTTTCCCGTTTAATCTGGTCGACCTTTTGTCTCGGCCTTTCTGGATTTCTTCATCTTCTGTTGTTGGCTGGGCTGAAAACCAAGCCCGAACTGGTCTAGCTTTGTTATAGGAATGATAGGGTTGATCATTCATTACAACAGACTCCCAAATCCTCTTCCCACCTTGGCATCTCTTCCCAAGATCTGTTTGATCTCCATTTTAGTGCATTCAGAGAGCCGAGGTTTAGAAATATTTCCTCATTCAGCCACAAACGTGACATTCACAAATTCTAAGGAGTGGAACGAACATTCTACCACTTCATCATTTTCTTATATGTATGGGGCATTAGTGGTCACACTCGCCACGATATCTTCTTCAACATTAACAATTACCAGAGCCCCATCGATGACAAACTTGACTTTCTCGTGCAGTGTAGACGGTACTGCTCCAGCTTGATGGATCCAAGGTCTTCCCAAAAGGAAGTTGTAGGAAGGCATGATATCCATTACCAAGAATTCAACATTGTATGTAGTAGGTCAGATGGTTAAAGGCACCTCAATCTTGCCGATTACCTCCCTCTTGGTCCCGTCAAATGCTCAGACCATGCTCTGGCATGTTTTCATGTGGGAAGCGTCTATTGTCATCCTTTTCAATGTAACTAAGGGCGTCATATTTAGGGATGAGCCATTATCAATTAACACACTCGGTAAGGCGTGCCCCTTACAATGAGTGGTGATGTGTAATGCCTTAGCTCGACCTCGTCCTCCAGACAAAATCTCATCATCAGAAAATGAAATAAGATTATCAGCTTGAATATTGTTAACCAGTCGATCCATCTTGCAGACTGGTATGTCTTGTGGCACAAAGGTCTGATATAGGACCTTTAACATTACTTCCATGTGTGCCTCTGAATTTAGCATTAGTGTCAACATTGAAATACGTGTCAGCAAGCTATGTAATTGGTCTATGATGTTATACTCATTGTGCTTTAAAATTTTTAGGAATAATATAGTTTCTTTCTCCTTTATTGACTCATTTATTGTCAGCACATCCCACTTGAAGGGCTCAAGTGGTCTCTGGGGGGAGTTAGCCTATTTGGAAGTAGTGTTTCCCCACGGCATGTTTTGCTTCATTGTCATATTCTTTCAGGGTGCTTACTTGGGATTCATACTTCCAAGGCACTAGACTGTTGTCCTTATAGGAAAAAGGTCGAGGTGCTGTGATCACCATATTTGCTTGTGTTTTCTTTGCTGTATTCGCTTTAGGGGTAATTACTAAATGATGACCCCTGCCATATCTACTTTCGGATGATTCTCCGGTGGCACAAACATCCATTTCTGGAGAGTCTTGGATTTCATCATAGAATTCCAGCTCCTTCCTATCCATCATAGGATGGATCAAATCTTTAAACTCTAAGCAATCTTACACTTCATTCCCTTTTTCATTATGGTAACAATAATGGTTATCAACTCCACTCCTTGATGTATCAAAATGTGGTGCAAGAAACCCTGCTTTCACCATTTGTCTCCATACCCAAGCCAAATGAGACGTTATTTCAGAAACACAAGTCTTAACTTTCCTTTTTTATCTGTAGTACTTGCATTAATATTAGTCTCTTGATGATTAGGCAAATGATTTTGTGCAACGTTTGGTGCTCCTGATTCGAAGTGGATCCAATTCTTGTTACGCATTCTTTGTACGAGCCTCTTGAATGCGAGGTAATTCTCAATAGTATGCCCTGGCAGTCCACCATGATATTTGCAGTGAGAGTTCACATCATACCATCTGGGGTATGGTGGCTTTATAGGGCTTCATAGGTTCCACCAGGTATGGTGACGCTACATGAGTGTCAAAGAGTTGTTGATACAGTTCCTTGTACGTCATGGGAATAGGATTAAAATACTCATTTTCTCTTTCTTTCCTAAGTTCCCTCAGATTTTAACTAGAAGTATATGATGGTACAACTACAGTTGTTCTTTAGTTGAAGATTGTAACACCTTTGTTGGTATTGTAGGTGTTGATGTTATTAATTTTTCTCTCTTTCTTCTTAATAGGAGGCTTCTTACTTGATTCCCCTCCCTCGATCTTGCCTTGTTTTATGGCTGTTTCAATCATTTCCCCGACCATAACTAAGTCAGAGAAAGTTCCTGATGTGATTGCAAGCTGAAGTAAGGAGTCTTCAGGGTTTACATGAAGAGTTTCCTTCTCATCCAAGGACGGATGAACTTGCACAGATAAATCTCCCAATCTCTGTTCATATTGTCTGAAGCTCTCATTATGATTTTTCTCCATGCTTTGTAGCATGACTCGATCTAGTCTAATATCGTTTATATGCTTGTATTGTTCCAAGAATGACTTGTCTAGATCTTTTCAGGTCTTGATATGAGATCGATTCAGCTGATTGTACCACTGGATGGCTGAACCACACAGACTCTCTTGGAAGCAATGAATCAGGAGCTGATCGTTTCCTACATATCCTTTCATCTTTCGACAGAACATGATAATGTGAGCTGAAGAGCAATTGTTCCCATCAAATTTCTTAAACTCGTGAACTTTGAATTTTAGTGGTAGTACCAAATCTGAGACTAAACTCTGTTCTAGAGCACTAACCCCATAATAATTATAGTCCCCCTTAACCACTTTCATTTGGTCTTCCAGCAGTTTGATTTTTTATCCATTTTCTTTGCCTTGTCTTCTTCATCAAAATCCGGTATATGGTAGTCATCCAGATTATTCTTAGGGTTGGATAATAAAGTTTGTATCTTTACAGCTGACGAGGCATTTGCTTTTGCAGTGGACGAGTCCCCTTGTATTCTTGGTAAGATTATAGGTGAAATAACTACCTGCGGGGTAAGTGGCATAACTACCCCTTCAGAAGACCCTGCCCCAGGCGTGTTTTCCTAACTCAAGCTAGATAGCCTTGCAAAAATTTGATCAACCAAATACTCTTGGCTTTTAGTGATCGTTTCCAAAGTACTTTGGTTATTCTGGCTTATCTTTTCTACTAACTCTCTCTACAACTTCAACATGTTCTCTTCGAGTTGAGTAATTTTGGCTTCCATTTGCCTTTTCTTTATGCGGGTGTTGTGAGGATGATGTGTGTCCAAGGCTCATGGAGGTATATCCGGTGTTTGTTCCCTAGACATTTTCTGTTAGTTAATGTGAATGTAAAAAATATGGAAAATAAAAATGAAATGCAAGATATGAAAATGATGCATGATGTATGAGAATTAGAGGCATTGATCTAGAAACTGTCTGTTATTATAAATAATCTTTATTGAGACAAAAATGTCTTATTTTTTTAAGAGACAAAAATATCTTAAAGGTATATTCTGACTAAATCCTCTAAACCCCGAACAGCTTCTAATAGGTTGACAAGTTTTCTTCATTCTTTTGTCACTGGTTGAATACCTTGTCGGACCATTCTGGCTTCTTTTGTTAAACTGTGCAAGTGATGAGCTACTTTTCGTACTTGTTCCAAAAAATCTCGGATAACTGCATCTCTAGCTTTCACCATTTGTTGGGCGTGTTCCCAACAAAAATGCCACTAAAATCCTCCATCAAAAGGAACTATCTGAAGCTCACTTGTTTGTTTCTTGAACCCGTCCACAATGGCTTCCAACTCAGCTATGGTTTTGTCATCATGCTCTTGTTGTTTCTGAAGAGACTTCTCTAAATCAGTTATCTAGATATTCAAACGTTTATTCTGGTGTTGGTTGTCTAAAAAATGTCTCTGAGTGGTCTTTAGCTATTCTTTCAAGGTTTCTCTTTCCTCATACCCTTCAAACTTCCTTTTCAGGCTGTTAGCTTCACTTTTTTAGTACTCAGAAGACCTTTTCAGATTGGAATTGCTCTATACTTGTTCTTGATATCCTTTTCTCAAATCCTCAAGCTCAAAACAAATTCTCTTTTGTTCTTTCTCTAACTTGTCTGCCCGATCCTTTAGAGTATCAGTATCCAACTTCCACTAGAATCTTTCAGCCTCGAGTTCCCTTAGACTTTGTTTCATCTCCTGCTTTTCGGCTTCAAATTCTTTTCTTGCTATCTCTAGCTCGGAAGGAACATGTTTAAGATGTTCTTCCATGGTTTGAGTGTCTTCATGGTCTGGCATTGGGATGGTGTCATTTTTCCTTATCCTTCGCCATTCCAAATAGTCTGGAGTAAGCATATCCTTAGCGGCCACGACATCCATACAGAACATTTTCTTCCATGACTCAGCTACTTTTTTGACATTTTTCTTGTAGTTGTCCCCATGATATGCAAATTTCGATCCAGATATTCAATGTGTTGTTGGGACAAACTGGCGTGCCCCATATTTTTGAAGTGCCAAAAGTGGAGAGTATCTGACTCCTCCCTATAATCTGAGTAATGTCATAGTTTTTGAATCTCCACATCGAAAAAGAATGTCACTATGGGTCAACCAGGGGGATCTCCAGACAACATCCCTATCCTGAAGGCGTGTGAATACCTTTATCCATTTTTCTTTTTGGGATGCCTTTGTGCCATTTCAGGGTGAGGAATTCCTCCAAAGGAGAATAAGTGGTGCTAAATCGGTAGTAAGAAATCTCATTAGTCTTCCAGAAGTGACTATGGATCCAAACTTAGAGAAGCAATGCACACCCTATAAATCTTCCTCCTCCAGTCTTTCTGCAGTGGTTGAGGGAGCGAAAAGTTTCAGTTAAAATTATCGGTGCTGGATTGACTCATTTCAGGAGTTGTTCGAATAGTTCCACTACAACTGCCTCAATGTGCCCCAATGTCTTTGGGAAAATAACCAAACCATAAATGCCCAGTACAAAAAGATCATTTGCCTTCTATTTATCAGGGTGATTCTTCATTAGTTGCTTGATATGAGTCCAAGCAATTCCTTCCCCATTAACTTTATGTTGAATCCAGTCAGTTACCCATTTCTCATCTACCCCGCCACTTTTGCCAACTCGTTCTTGAAAGGCTAACTCTTGATGTTCTTGATGTAAACCCGACCCACTCTTATTCCTTCGCAGTGCAACAAAGCAGTATATTCTTCAATTGTGTGTACCATGTCTTCTTGGTTAAATATGAAGCAGTTGTACCCCAGATTCCATAATTGTACTAAGGCTCAAATTAGGGGCTCATCGGTCTTGACATAGAGTAGAAGTGGCATACCACCGTACCGTTGGCAGAACCTCCCTTTCTGGTCACTTTTCCAGCTGTCCTAAATACTTTGTAATTATTAAACATCATTCTGCTTTAGGTTGACAGAAACATAGCCAACCAGATCTGACACAATTTCCTTGCAGATTGTCTTCCTTTTCTTTCTGAGTCTTTTCAGACCATAATCGTACCTCATGTCTTGCATTACAACCCCTTTGTCCATAAATGCGGATTATTTGTGTTTAACAAACACTTTTTTTGGACCAATTACCTCTTTTTGTGATGTAAATGATAAAAAAGCAATCATGAAAGAAAAATCAGTTAGTAAGATAGAAATAATAATGATAAAAGTAAAAATTGACAAACTGTATGC